CAGCCAGGAAGCTCGCCTGCCCCAGAAACAGCACGGTAAGGTTGGGCCAGCGGGACCCTGGTTTCACGGCCGTCCGCGCTGACCCATACGGTCCCACGCACCCCGTCTGACCCCGGCTCTTGTGTTAGGGTTGGATGGCCAGCAACTCGGGGCGTGTTTGGGTTTGTACAGCGCCTGGCGCAACGGGATCCTCGGCCAGGGCTAGGGCGCCTGTGAGCCACGGTAATACATGTAATAAATAACACAACCCGCCCCCCCGCCGGTAAACCAGCACCATCGCAAGCCCTCGCCAGCCCCTCACAGGCCCGCCAGCCCTGTGGCTACTCACTCGGGCCACTTCTCTCCCACTGCCCGCAGCGGCCAAACGCTGCCGTGGCAGGCAGCACTGTCGCCCTCTACTGGGCAGCACTGGGCGTGCATGTCGAAACCACGCAACATCAGCCCACGGGGATCCCCGCCACGGGAGGGAGCAGGTTTCCAACCCTGCCACGCAGCGCTGGACACTAGCCCGTCCTGCGGGAAGATCCCCAAGCAGCCAGCCTGCCCACCCGCCCAGCCTTCTCCTGCCACGTTGGAATCAAACACCTGGGATTTCGTTTTTGCAAAATGAGGCCGTTTGCCACGCCCGTGGCTGCGGGAAACGTGGCTCAGGGGAAGGCTCAGGCACCAGCAGGCGAAAAAAGCCCCCCCCCATGGCAGATTATTTTGTTGTGTTGGCTATTGCCTTCCCCTCTCTGCCCGTGGGGTGGCAGGGGTTCTGTGGGGTGTCATCAGGAACCACATTTGTAAGGTGGGCACCGCTATTTGGGCACCCAGCTTGAAATCTAAGGAGGATTGCCTAGTGGTTAGGGTCTCACTGCCTGCTCTGCTGTTCCGTATGATGGGGGTGAGGGGACACAGCAGTACCCAGGAAATGCATCAAAGAGACCTGATTCATTCTTAGCCCCCCCCCAACATCTAGGCACTTGGGACCCTTTGAGACACCCCAAATCAGGGATCCAGGATCTGCAGCATCCACAGCGAGTGGCCAGTTTAGAAGTGAATGGGGGCCCCGTTTTGCTTTAAGTGCTCTGGGATTTCGTCCGGCCCCGGCATTAGCTCTCAGCTGCTACGGTGGGTCACGGGGGAAAGCCCCCTCGACAGACAGTTGGGGTGCACAGGACTGTGCTTCTCCAAGGGTGCCTGGACCTTCTGGGCGTGCAGCTCTTTGGATGGGGCGCGTGTGTGTGCGTGCACACTTTTGCACGAGTGTGCCGTGATTTGACACGAATGCCTGGTGTGCAAGTTTGGGTGTTGAAGTGGTGTGTCCGTGTGTCAGTGAACTTGTGTGTGCGAGTGTGTATCGTGGGAGAATGGCTGTGTGGTGTGCGCCAGTGTGGTGTATCAAGGGTGTAAGTCGGGGCAGGGGGAACCTTTCTTGGGTCGAGGGCTGCTGACCCACAGAAAAATCAAGCGGGGGCCGCACACAAGTGAGAAGACCCTGACTGAGTGGGAGAAAGACCCTCCCCACATTCCCCTCACCCCCCAGAGCCTAGGGGGGCCCAGGCTCATAGATTTTGTGTGCTCCAGCCCTGTGGGTGGGTGGCAGCGGAGGGACCCCTGAACCTCGTGTGCTCCAGCCCTGCGGGTGGGTGGCAGCGGGTGACCCCTGAACCTCAGGGGCCGCATCTGGCCCCCAGGCCTGAGGTTCCCCACCCTTTGTGTGAGTGGTGCAGTGTGTGTGTGAGAAAGAGCGGCTGTGTGGGGTGTGTCAGTGTTGTGTATTAGTGTGAGAGGTCTCGGCCCATCCAGTTTCCAGGGAACATAAGAACAGCCAGACGGTCCATCTAACTCAGTGTCCCGTCTTCCAACAGTGGCCAATGCCAGATGCACCAGTGGGAGTGAACAGAACAAGGAATCATCCAGTGATCCCTCTACTGTCTCCCATTTCCAGCGTCTGACAAACAGAGGCCAGGGACACCATTCCTACCCATCCTGGCTAATGGGTAGGACCTGGACCTATCCTCCACGAATTTATTTAGCTTTTTGAACCCTGTTACAGTGTTGGCCTTCAAAACATCCTCTGGCGAGGAGTTCCACAGGTCGACTGTGTGGTGCATGAAGAAATACTTCCTTTTGCTTGTTTTAAACCTGCTGCCGATTCATTTCATTTGGTGACCCCCTAGTTCTTGTGTTACGGGAACAAGTAAATAACTTTTCATAATTCACTTTCTCCACACCAGTCATGATTTGTAGACCTCTAGCCTATCAGCCCCTTAGTCTCCTCTTTTCTAAGATGAGACGTCCCGGTCTTTTAAATCTCTCTTCATACGGGACCCGTTCCAAACCCCTCATCATTTTTGTTGCCCTTTGCTGAACCTTTTCCAGTGCCAATAGAAGAAGAGGTGGCTACATCTGTATGCCGTATTCGAGATGTGGGCTACTGTGGATTTATACCGAGGCAGTAAGATATTCTCGGTCTTATTCACTGTCCCTTTTTTAATGATTCCCAACATGGCGAATTTAGTCCCTATCATATTGTACGTATAGTTGGGATTATGGTTTTCCAATGGGCATCACTTTGCATTTATCCACATTAAAATTCATTTGCCATTTTGTTGCTCAGTCACCTAGTTGTGTGGGATCCTTTGGGAGCTTTTCACAGTCTGCTTCAGTCCTAACTCTCTTGAGCAGTTCGGTATCATCTGCAAATCTGGCCACCTCGCTGTTTACCCCTTTCTCCAGATCATTCATGAATATGTTGAAAAGGGAAGCTCCTAAGCCCAGGGACCCCCTTGTGAGGAGATGGCAGGAGAGGCTGGGCCAGAAAATCCAGCTGCAGCGGGTGCTCGCTCCAACCTACGGGGACGAATTGTGCTGGGCCATGAGACCTGATGCACCTCTACTTGCCCCAGGGCAGAGTTCCCTGTAGGCTGAGTGCTTAGGCGGCCCCCCAGGAGAGATTCAAATGCCGCCAGCTGATTAGCAGAGCCCCCACACCCGGCAGCAGGGGTTAACAGTGGTGGTGCATGGAACAAAAGACTAAAAATACAGATGTGGATTTCACCCGGCAGGAGCAAGGGAGAGATGGAGGGAGAGAGACAGGCGCCTGGAGGAAGCGCCAAAGGGGTCATTCCGGGGGCACAGGCGGAGTCTCTGGGTGATGGGCCTGATTAATAGCACCCGGGCAAGGTGCCAGCCCCATGCTGCCTCACCCATGGATTGGGTGGCACCCCCACGCGAAGGGAAGGGAAATCAGTCCCCGTAGCCCCTTGGCCTCCCTACTGAGGGTGCGATCAAGGGGGCCAATTGGTGCAAACGGCGTCATCTGTCGCTTGGCCACGGCTCCACCACCCAGGC